TTATTGATGTTCATGACAGATGTTGTGTCATGTTTATGACAGTGTCAAGACAGTCTTATTAACCCCCTTCAAATAAAGTGTGTTCCTCAAATATCCACTATCAATCACCATCACCATGTATTCAGACTTTTTGTATCTTCATCAAGTCAAAATCATTGTTTGTGGAGCTAAGCTACCTTTAAATGACATTTTGTGCTTTGAAATGGATGTTGGTTATGTTGGACCTCCAGCCTTGTACGAGTCAAACTGCAGGAGTACAGGGCATAACTCCTGAATCAACAGTCTACTGCATTTAAAACAATTTGATTCCATCAGTAGGAAGAGGAGGAGTTTCAGGAAAGATAGTTTGTGATGGAAAACTTAAAACTCTGGAGCCAAGACAAACACGCCCTCTTTGCAGCACCGCTGCATCAGGACAGGATCTCTGTTTCACCTGTCGTTCGTTTGGGCCACATCAGCGATACAACCTGAAACCTCCTCCTGCTGGCAGAGAAAAGGTCTGCTCCTCGCCCTTTGGAATGAAAAGCATCCATGGGACTGCATTGCATCTGCCCAGCCAAAGAAATAAACCTGATTTTATTCAGAACTCTGTAGAAGGAATCTTGCAATTACAGGTTTCCTAAGATTACCATCAACACATCCATGATTTCTTACTTCAATGCATCTATCAATGGAGTAATTGATAAATAGACTAAGAATCATAAGGTCATGGATATCCAATTCAGTCAAACTATAGAGCATTGCTTCATCAAAGTAAAGTTGTGTCTTTGCACTGTGAAATATTACTTGGAATATATACAAAGTGTCAATTAGTCTGAATTAATCTTCATTCATTTAGAGCTAACTGGCCTTGGCAACAAAACTCCTCAGTTCAATCCTTGGTCTTTAAGTATTCATACAAATTACTACAGATCTTTCTATGGGTTATTTCAGCTTTTATTCCTTCCATATTTCTCGTTGTTCTTTGAAAAATATATGGCATATTTTGGTGCAAGTAAAAACTAATTAACAGTCTCCAAATGTATTTGTCTGAACAGATGGTTGCTTGATTTTGTGTTTATAGTAAAATCCACAGCAAAAAGGTTAATGAACTGTTAATGTTTTGCAAAGTAAATTGAAGCATGTCTGTTCATGTAATTAAAATCTTTACATTTCAGAGAAGAGGACGTCTTTCTCAATCAGTTTTTTCAGTCTGACCTGCCAAGAACAACATACTTCTCCTCCTATATTTAATCTATGCCAAGTTGTTCTTTCAGGTCTAGTAGATCAAACATTAGTGAGAGAATCTGTTTAGATGGTTGCATAAGGGCTTTACTAAGAAATTATGAAATGCCTAAGATGTACAGTGATAACTATTAAAATTTAATAGCGAGTAATATTTGTCCTTTTTTTGATAACATATTAAGCCTTTCATTAATCTGAACTCAATCTAGTACAATGTGCTCTGTGGCTAATAGCAGCAGATCTGAGGATTTTCAAAAATACTTTAAAGTTGAGCTGGACTGTCATTATTTCATTGTTGCATAGTTTCTCCTAATACTGCATGACATATTTTAAAAAATTAACTAATCATCTCAAAAGCAGACCTTGAATACTGCTTTTAAGGAAGATGTATGTTTGGATTCAATGGAACTAGTAGATCATCAGCAATTAATAAAGTAAATATTACTTTTCAAACTATACCACTTATTTAATTTTACCACAAAGGGGCAGCAAAGATGATCTACTTCTGAACCGCAGATCTTTGTGAAGAACTCTTTGTTGCAACACATGCTGCTGATTCCAACAAAAATATTAGAAAATGCTGCATCTGTCCACTAGGTGGCAGCTGAGAAAGATCAGATCATAAAATGTCTACAGAAAATACAATTGTTTGTTGCAAAATATCAGCAAGTAGGAGAAAATTTTTATTAGTACTCTAAGCAGTTACATGCTGTAATCTGTGAGACGAGTTCAGAAAACAAGTAAAAAAAATGAAGGTTTAGGAAAAGGTTAACTGAACATTGAAAATTACTAATAATATAAAGTTACCTATAGTTTAAAAACTTGCATTCGATCTAAATTCTATTTATGGGACAAAATGACACATAACTTAAAATGAAAAACAACAGGATGGGTATTCTTAGTGTTAAAACTTTTTCAGGAAAAACTGAGAATCGTTTGAACTCTTCAAACACTGAAGGTGCTATGAGGGACTCTTTAGACATCAGTGCTTTTATTTTGAAGGTGTAGAACCCTGGTGCTGTCTAAGATCACGTCTCCAAGAAAACAAAACATCTTCTGTCTGGTTTCAATGGAGTGGAGCAACAGATCTAATCAACCAGCCAAACCACATGCAATGATTCACCTGGCAAAAGTTAATATAAATCTATAAGGACCACAAGAACCTTCAGGGCTCATTTTGTTTTAGTTTCTTAATATGCAGAGCTTACTTTGGTTGTTTCTGACATCTGATATAAAATACTGAAAATACATTTTCTTGGAAAAAACGTAATGTTTCAAACTGCCTGCTGTAAACAGGGCTTAAAGTAAAAAAAAAAAAAAAATCCTTAGCCTGAAACTTATAGGGGGGATAGAAATGAACTATACCATTGCTATTCCCACAGTTTAATAAAAAGTGTCTTTGAATAATGCAAACAATTGTTTCTAACAATACAATTAACAAGCTAAACACTCAAACTTAAAAAAGACTTTACTACATTTCAACTCAAAACAAAATGTAAAATGTCTGTGCCCTAAAGGTTTGCCATACAGGCAAAAGTCCCTCAACATTAAATAAGAGTCCTTTCAGTCAATGTTCTTGCAAGTAATTTAGAACATGCAACATTACCAACTAAATCAGTTTCTCAACCTTTTTCTGGCCAGCATCCCCTATCCCATATCCAGATCCCTCAAACCCCCACCAAAGAATCTGTAGGCTACTTTGCACTGACTATTATTTTATTATTAATAATACTATCACTATTGTAGATGTTTAGATTTTTATGCTTGTTTCTGTATTTATCATCAAAAATAATTTCCCAGAGAACAAAAAACCTATGAGAATAGTCCATTGCAAGTGTCATGGAGTCATCCTTATTTAAATGGGTTCATTTTTCAGGGGGGCACACAGTGAAGGTATCGTGATTTTAGTAATTACATGTTTATAAGAGCGATTTTCTGTTGTCCTTCCATGGAAGCGGGCAGCTTTCAAACGGAAATAAAACACTTTTTAATATAAGTTGATGCTTTGACATGATCACAGAACCGCCAAAACATATGTACAAAAATCCTCAATAAAACATAAAATATTTGAAAATCAGACACCAGAAAAAGTGAATCACAGCAACGTCATCAGCCGGTGTAACGCTGAACTGATGCGGTGAAGCTACTAGTAGCAGGAGCGGAGCTACAAGCTACAAACACTGAATAGAAGAAGAAGAAGAGCTGCCATCGATACAGTTGCAGCCAGACATGATTTAATGTTACACAATACCGTTTTAGGAAGTTGCTCAAAGTCTAAACTGGTATTGTGATTGTAAGGTGTAAAGTTTACCTTCGACCAAACGCCCCCCAAAGGAATCCAGCGCCCCCCTTTTGTAAAAATTTCCGCCAGCTTCCCGTCTTGTCCCCTTTCCTTTGCCCAGCGCCACCTGTTTAATTCCTTTCTCAAGTAAACGTGTTTCTTTACCGGGTGAGACAAACTCCATCTTCTTTCATATGGGATTTGATTTAACCGCGAACCGAACGCATGCGCTTCTTTTCTACAAATCATTTTACAGTCATTGGTCAAGAACACGGGAGCTAGAATTCTGATTGGCCGAAATCTTTGTCTTTTATCTACAGTTTAGTTGAGGCGGGCCGTTTGGTCCAATGCTCGCCTTGCTTGAAAAGCCGGAAGTCTGGCCCCCAGACGGAGCTCTCTAAGCCCGGAGCGGTTTGGTTGAGCGGACCATGAAGATTGGTTGAGATGGACCGTTTGGTCAAAAGCCGGAAATCCGGACCCCGAACGGAGCTCTTTAAGCCCTGTGTAAACCTCATGCTCCACCTCCAGCTACAGATTGGACTTTGCTTCTATCAACCTCAAATAAATGTCCTACAGAAAAGCTGGTGCACAGCGACAGATATTAAACGTGTTGCAGTCATGGGAGCGATGGAGGTTTTTCTCCAGTCATTCAGCCCAGTTTCAGTTTTAGGGACTGTGGTTTTAATCCTCATTGGGTTTCACTTCATTCTCTCTAAATCCAGGCCTCAGGGCCACAGACAGGGACCACCAGGACCAAAACCCCTTCCCATCGTTGGCAACCTGCTGCAGCTGGATGTGAAGAGACTTGACCAAGCACTCATGAAGGTGAGGCACAACATAAATGTTTGCAATTTATCTACTTTTAAACTATTACATATCCTTTTTTTTTATCCATGCTTACACAGAACAAAAAAATTGGTCCAATATTACACTAAAAAATGTGTTGTAAAGAAAATGTTGCGACGTCTTAAAATGGAACAATAAAAGTGATTTTTTTCAGTCTGGGTCTGGTGTGACTCTTTAGGACAAAAAAAAAATTGGGCCACTGTTACACTAAGATCTGATTAAATTAAACTGATCAACTGGGGCTTTGAGAAGACAGAGCATACCCACAAACAAATACTGAAACACTGCTGCAGGAGTAGAAAAGTAAAAAGTTAATGGTTCATGGTTCCCTCCAGAAAACCTGCTAAGTCTGATGGTAGAGCACAGGGGCAGTCCACCAGCAGCCCACCGTGTTTTTGTGTTAAAAAATGTGGAAAATACAAAAAATGTCAGCAGTCATTGTACATTGGAAATAATAGCGTGTGAAGCTGATGGGCAGGTCCAGAGAGGGTGCAACAGGTGAGAACTCCTTCGCACCTGATTGTGTCATCTATAAACCTAGCTTAAACTGCCATTACTGTCACTGTTTCTGGTGTATAAAATTTTTTTGCAAGGCTTAGCCTGGTGGGGGAGTAAAGCCTGGTGACCCGCCAGGCTTATGACATGCTGGGGTAAAACCATGATGGCAGCAGTAGCTCCTATAGTGGTCTTATCTAGGAACAAAACACAACTAAGCAGATCTGAGCCAGTCTTCAAATCTATAAGGTGAAAGAGACACAATGTTAAGCAAAGAAAAGATATTTACTAACATATGAAGAACCTAGTTCCTGAGAAATGAATTAATTTGCATTTTCTTTATTCACACCTGGTTTCATCATAGCTTTCTAAGACGTATGGATCTGTGTTCACTGTCCACATGGGACCAAAGAAGACAGTGGTCCTGACAGGGTATAAGACGGTGAAAGAAGCATTTGTCAGCTATGCTGAGGAGTTTGGAGAACGGGAACCATCCACCGTGTTTAAAGAAGCAAACATGCATCACGGTACAGAATCTTTACAAATTCACATGTAGAGAAGTTAGTTTACTGACTTATATTATTTAACTGTGTTAAACAGGTATTGTATTTTCCAATGGAGACTCCTGGAAGGAAATGCGGCGCTTTGCTTTGACCAACCTGAAGGACTTTGGGATGGGAAAGAAAGTATGTGAGGAGAAAATCATTGAGGAATGTCACTTCCTCATCCAGAAGTTAAAGGAGTTTAAAGGTAACAGCAGAGAGGAAGAAGATGTTATTGCTATTGTTGGCAGATTTCACCATGAGAACTTTGTTCTTTAATCTGAGGCATTATACTTAACTGCTGGTCAGAGCTATTCTTTGCAGTTCAGCTTCAAAGCAAAACAATTCTCTTAATAAATTGAGCCAATGTGTTGAATAATGCTTTTCTGGTTTCTTTGTTGCAGGTGAAGCTTTTGATTTGTCCCAACATATGAACAATGCAGTTAGTAATATAATCTGCTCCATGATCTATGGCAAAAGATTTGAATATGATGATCCAGAGTTTAATACCATTGTAGATCGAACAACCCAAGGCCTTCAACTGTTAGGCACACCAGCAATACAGGTGTGATTGGACTGTTTAACAGCATAAAATCTGTTAACATTGGACTGAACACAGGACCTAGAGAAGTCACAGTTTATGTTCTGTTCACCATCAGCTGTACAACATGTTCCCAAAGATTGGCAAACTGGTGTTTTCAGCCAGAAAGAAAATGAGAGATATATTCGCTGCCAATAAACAACATCATCTGATGCTGCTGAACCGTTTGAAAGAGACCCTCAGTCCTCAGATGTGCAGAGGAGTTGCAGACGCTTTCCTCATCCGTCAACAGCAACACAAGGTCAGAACCTTCATTACCTTCCAGAGTAATGTTAAAAAATTACCTTGAATTCTTCCAGGATGCTCACAAGCTAATCAGCCACTGCTGGTGTTCAGGCCACCGGTTATGAATAACCATAAAGTAAACATCAAGCCTGAAACCATAAAGAAATGTGGTTTGTAGTAAACACAAACATTTGTTTGGGAAATGTTTGTGTATTGATGTTCCTGATATTCTCTGCACTGAGGACTAGCACAGCTGTTGACAGCTGGTTGCCATGGCAATGGGGTACTGAGTGGTTTAAAGTGGTTCTTCACCTGATTTACTGTCATTTGGTTTTTGTTGTGACTCACTGAAGCTGCTCCAGTTCCTAAAAGTTCAATGAACAATAAAAACTGGACTAATTGCCTTGTATTCGTAAGTCATCAAGTAGGATAAAATACTTCAAAAAGTATATAATAGAATGTCTCCTTCAGTGTTATATCAAGTTTAATGAATTGTCCAGTAAAAACATACATTGATTTAGTATTCTTTTGCAGTTTGAAAGAACAGAGAGAAATCAATCTATTTGTAGATTTATTTCTAGAAAGAAAACAAGTTTACATATTGAAACTTCGGCTGATTCCTTAACTTTAAGCCACATTTTACAGAGATAAAAATAAGGTCACGTTAGCCTTTGCACAGCCAGACATTTTTGTGACAAATTCAAGCACATCCTGATTTGGAACAGGATGGTTGTGGGCATATGACTCAATCTGTAGTAATGGTGCCAGCAGGAGCGCGTCACTATCTATAGCTGTTAATTGTCTCTGTCCTGTCCAGTACATCAATGGTGCTCACCATGGACGCATGACTGGCACACATGGGTGCTCCAACCCAAAAGCTCCAACAGAATCGGCGCCTATGATCTCTCCATAATATATATCTATATCCACCTTTTTAATAAAATAATTCTTAATATACTACTATGATATTTATTTTACATACCTTCTACTTGGGCTAAGCAAATGGGAAAGTACTTTAGGATAGCATGCGTTAGCCTTTGACTGAACATCAAACCATTTTGGTTTTCTAAATATCAGCTGATCTTCTGCAGGAATCTGGCATCACTGACAGTCACTACCACAACGACAACCTGCTGGTTACAGTCATGAACCTGTTTGGTGCTGGAACTGATACAACATCAACTACCCTGAGATGGGCATTCCTGTATATGGCAACATATCCAAAAATACAAGGTCAGGAATATCTCCTTCAAGATGATGTAAAAATAGAACAATGTGCTACAGATCTTATGGTTTCTGCAGATTAATTAAAGAATTGTTGTATCCTTGTCATTTATTGACTTTGATCTTTCAGACCAGGTCCAGCAGGAGCTGAGGAACGTGATTGGAAGTCGCCAGGTTCAGGTTGAAGACAGACAGAACCTGCCTTTTACAGACGCCGTCATCCATGAGACACAGAGAGTGGCCAACATCGCTCCTTTGGCAGTTCCTCACAGGACTAGCAAAGACGTCATGTTCCAAGGTCATTTTATTGAGAAGGTGAGAAATGAGGCTTGATGGTGCACTACCAACAGCTTTTCTCTATATTTCAACATACTGCATGTAAATGATGACTGATTTGTGTTTTTTAGGGAACTCCAGTAATTGCTGTTTTAACGTCCGTCTTGCAAGATGAGAGCCAATGGGAGAAACCGAACGTCTTTTATCCAGGCAACTTCCTCAGCAAAGATGGGAAGTTCCTCAAGCGAGACGCCTTCATGCCTTTTTCAGCAGGTTAGCCTGGTTATTGTTTTATGTAGATCCGTACTCTACAGCAGTGTTTCTCAATTCCGGTCCTCAGGCCCCCTGCCCTGCATGTTTTAGGTGTTTCCCTTCTGCTACACACCTGGATTGAACCTGTAGGTAATTAACAGGCTTCTGCAGTACTTGATGGCCATGCAATCATCTGAATCAGCTGTTCTGAAATAGAGGCCCATCTAAAACATGCAGAGCAGGGGGGCCTGAGGACTGGAATTGAGAAGCAATGCTCTACAGGCATTGGATGAGGATCTGTTTCTAACAGGTCGCAGGGCTTGTCTTGGAGAGAGTCTGGCCAGAATGGAGCTTTTCATCTTCTTCACCACGCTCCTGCAGCACTTCAGATTTTCTCCTCCACCTGGAGTTACAGAGGAAGAACTTGATCTAACTCCACGAGTTGGTGGTACTATGAGCCCTCAACCTCACACGCTGTGCGTTACCCCTTTAAATTAAGGAGTGGCCTATTTGTGGAAAAACCCACTTTGGTCCCAGCAGTAGGAAGCGAAGGAGTTTCATGAAGGAAGGTCTGTAATGGAAACCTTAAAAATCCGGGGCAATCATGACCCCTTTGCAGAACAATGAGAGGATCTCTGTTTCACCCGTCGTTCGTTTGGGCCACATCAGCGATACAACCTGAAACCTCTTTCTGCTGGCTGAGAAAAGGTCTGCTCCTCGCCCTTTGGAATGAAAAGCATCCATGGGACTGCATTGCATCTGCCCAGCCAAAGAAATAAACCTGATTTTATTCAGAATTCTGTAGAAGGAAACTTGCAATTACAGGTTCCCTAAGATTACCATCAACACATCCATGATTTGCTTTTGCAATTTATTAAATTAGCTATCAATGCAGTAATTGATAAATAGACTAAGAATCAGTTCTACATAAGGTCATGGATATCCAATTCAGTCAAACTATAGAGCATTGCTTCATCAAAGTAAAGTTGTGTCTTTGCACTGTGAAATAGTACTTGGAATATATACAAAGTGTCAATTAGTCTGAATTAATCTTCATTCATTTAGAGCTAACTGGCCTTGGCAACAAAACTCCTCAGTTCAATCCTTGGTCTTTAAGTATTCATACAAATTACTACAGATCTTTCTATGGGTTATTTCAGCTTTTATTCCTTCCATATTTCTCATTGTTCTTTGAAAAATATATGGCATATTTTGGTGCAAGTAAAAACTAATTAACAGTCTCCAAATGTATTTGTCTGAACAGATGGTTGCTTGATTTTGTGTTTATAGTAAAATCCACAGCAAAAAGGTTAATGAACTGTTAATGTTTTGCAAAGTAAATTGAAGCATGTCTGTTCATGTAATTAAAATCTTTACATTTCAGAGAGGAGGACGTCTTTCTCAATCAGTTTTTTCAGTCTGACCTGCCAAGAACAACATACTTCTCCTCCTATATTTAATCTAGACAGTGGTTCTTAATCTTTTTTGAGGTACCGACCCACCAGTTTCATATACACATTCACTGAACCCTTCTGCAGTGATAAATAAAATTAGTTAGGTACCCCCTATTATCCCATGATCACTAAGTCTTCTTAAAAGGTAGAGTCTCTGAGAACAGTTCTTCAAAATATAGTCAGTGTTTTCAAAATATAGTCAGTGTTTTCAGCAAAGTTGAGCTGAGTGTCCAGGAACGACCCAAATTTGCCACAGTTTCAGCAGGTTGGCCATCGAGAGAAACTGGAGCCACTGTAAGGTCTTGTTTAGATCATTTAATTAGCTCTACATTCTTAAGATAATCAAAAATTTATAATCAATCATAAAGACTTTGCGGTATTCTGATTTAGTAATAGGGTTAGGGTTAGGGTTGAGCTCCCTGGAGGTCCCAGATCCATGGGTTTTTTTGACCGGGGTAAGGCGGGGTCCCGGTAACCGAACCCCGGGTACAGAACCTCCTTGAGCGGTCCCGGTTCCGTACAACCGGACCTGGACATACGGAAGCATGGGGTGCTGCTTCCAAGTGGCTGCCTTACCAGGGGCACAGACATAAGGAGACTTCCAGGGGTCCCATTGAATGTCTGAGCCCCTGCCCGGGTTCCGGTGCCCCGATCCCGGGTAAAGAAGCTCCATACCCCCCCCCCTGGTCCTCCAGGACAGGGGACGGCCCGGCGGAGGTCCTGGGACCGGCCCCCGGTTCCGGAGAACCGTGCAGGGGTATTTTTGACAAGTTGTAGCGGGGCTGAGAGTGTCCGAATCCCGGGTAGGGTCCAGCCATTTGNTTCAGCAGGTTGGCCATCGAGAGAAACTGGAGCCACTGTAAGGTCTTGTTTAGATCATTTAATTAGCTCTACATTCTTAAGATAATCAAAAATTTATAATCAATCATAAAGACTTTGCGGTATTCTGATTTAGTAATAGGGTTAGGGTTAGGGTTGAGCTCCCTGGAGGTCCCAGATCCATGGGTTTTTTTGACCGGGGTAAGGCGGGGTCCCGGTAACCGAACCCCGGGTACAGAACCTCCTTGAGCGGTCCCGGTTCCGTACAACCGGACCTGGACATACGGAAGCATGGGGTGCTGCTTCCAAGTGGCTGCCTTACCAGGGGCACAGACATAAGGAGACTTCCAGGGGTCCCATTGAATGTCTGAGCCTCTTCCCGGGTTCGGTGCCCCGTCCCGGGGATGGATTCCAGCCATTTGGTGGGACGGGACTTGTGCCATTTCAACAAAGTCCCCAGCCATAAGGAGACATCCAGGGGTCTCACCGAATGTCTCAGCCGCTGCCCGGGTTCTGGTGCTCCAATCCCGGGTAAATAAGCTCCATATCTCCCCCCTGGTCCTTCAGGACCAGGTCCGGCACAGGTCCGGGGACCAGCCCCCGGTTCCGGAGAACCGGACAGGGGTATTTTTGACAACTTGTAATGGGGCTGAGGGTGTCCGAGTCCAGCCATTTGGTGGAACAGGGACTTGTGCCATCTCACTAAAGTCCCCAGACAAAGTCTTTTTGTAGACTAATAGACATAGGGTGTTGGCCATAGGGGATCATGAGTGAATGAGCCTTTATGTCAGCAAAAATGATAGAAAAGGCTTTTTGCAGCCAGTGGGAAGCAAACCCGGGTCTCTGGGGCGGAGAGCGGGCAGCTAAACCACTAAACTACAGGAGCCATGAGGGTTGCCTCGGCTCCTGGCGCTTTTGGCTTCTAAGCCACGGAGGCAAAAAAGGATAAAGTGCCTTTCCAAGATTGTGTACATAAAGAGTTTTCTGCGCAAGTGGGCCGTGAACCCGGGCCTCCCGGGTGGGAGTGCGGCTACTGGACCACTTTGCGAACAGAGATAAAGACTGGCAGCGCTTACGAGGGCTTATGAGGGTGGGGGGACCGGGAGACACTTGGAAGCATGAGGCAGTGCTGCCCGATGGCGGCGGGGGACACCAGGCAGCGTCCACAGGCGTTTCGGCAGCATTCGTCACCGGGAGGCGTCCCGGCATTTTGGGATCGTTAGCCACCGTGCAGCAGGGAGCGATGCACCCAAATGTCCTGCGCCACCTGGTGTTGATTGCCGGAACGTGCCATAAAAGCAGCCGTATGGCAGCATTCGGAAAAAGTTAAGTGTTTTTGAGCGACTGCGTTTAATGAATTGTCCAGTAAAAACATAAATTGGTTTAGTATTCTTTTGCAGGTTGACAGAACAGAGAGAAATCAATCTATTTGTAGATTTATTCCTAGAAAGAAAACAAGTTTACATATTGAAACTTTGGCTGATTTCTTAACTTTAAGCCACATATTACAGAGATAAATATAAGGTCACGTTAGCCTTTGCCCAGCCAAACATTTTTGTGACAAATTCAAGCACATCCTGATTTGGAACAGGATGGTTGTGGGCATATGACTCAATCTGTAGTAATGGTGCCAGCAGGAGCGCGTCACTATCTATAGCTGTTAATTGTCTCTGTCCTGTCCAGTACATCAATGGTGCTCACCATGGACGCATGACTGGCACACATGGGTGCTCCAACCCAAAAGCTCCAACAGAATCGGCGCCTATGATCTCTCCATAATATATATCTATATCCACCTTTTTAATAAAATAATTCTTAATATACTACTATGATATTTATTTTACATACCTTCTACTTGGGCTAAGCAAATGGGAAAGTACTTTAGGATAGCATGCGTTAGCCTTTGACTGAACATCAAACCATTTTGGTTTTCTAAATATCAGCTGATCTTCTGCAGGAATCTGGCATCACTGACAGTCACTACCACAACGACAACCTGCTGGTTACAGTCATGAAC